GGGGGGGTGACACGTGATGCAGCCCCGTTGCACACGTGTGTGCGCCCGGGCGCGGCCACGTGGGGGCGCGCGCGCCACGCAGCCGGCGGGGGCGGAGCTTCCCCGGCCTCAGCCAATGGTCGCGGAGGGGCGGAGCCATGAGACGCCCTCCCCTTCCCCCCCCTCTTTCTCCCCCGCCCAGTGCTTCGCGTTCCCGCCAGGTGTGTCCTTCCCGGCTGCCCGTAGAGAGGCGGTGCGCGGCCGCCGTTGCTAGCAGTGCTGTCACGCCATTGGGCCCGTCGCCTCCCGGTTGGCCAATCAAAGAGCAGCGCCGCGGCGGCACCGCCTTCTCGCCAGCTGACAGCGCCGCCGTCCAATCAGCGGCAGGCTCCACCGGCGCCGTGGAGGCGTGACCCGGCCCTTAGCCAATGAGYAGCCAGCGCCCGTGCGCGCGCCCTACCCGAATCTCCCGAGCTGATTGACACCGCAGCCACCCTATGGAATACGAGAATCTCGCCGAGCCGCCGCCGCCTCAGCCAATGAGCGGCGCGAGCCCTTTGTGCGGGGCGGGCGCAGCGGCGCGCAGGCGGCCAATGGGGGGCCGCGGGAGGCGGCGCGGCCGGAGGGGGCGGGGCGCGGGCGCCGCCGTTACCGTCGCGCGCAGGAGGGAGGCGGCGGCGCCGCCATCATGAGCTACTCAGGTGAGGGGCGGCGGGACAAGATGGCGGCGGCGGCGCCGGTTCGGGGCGGGGGGCGACCGGGGCTACCGGGAGCGTCGCCGCCGGTGCCGCCCGGGCCCCCCCGGGGCCGTTGCCGCTTCCCGAAGCCCCCGGGGTGTTGGGAGCAGCCGGGGCCCCCTCGGCCTTTTCCCTTTGGGATTCGGTTCCCCAARTCCCTCCCCGCGAAGCCCCTTTAAAATCCCGCCCCCCGGCTCCGGGGAATCCCAGGAAAACTGGTGCGTGCCTTCCCCCAAAATTCCGGATTTCCCACTAAAAGCCGCCTCAGAATCCCTATGGGAAAGCACCCCCTGAATCCCCATGGAAAAGCATCGCCCCCAAATCGCTATGGAAAAGTGCCCCCCGAATCCCTATGGAAAAGGCTCCTCCAAATTGCTATGGAAAAGTGCCCCCCAAATCCCTATGGAAAAGGCTCCTCCAAGTCCCTATGGTAAAGTGTCCCCCAAATCCCTATGGAAAAACACCCACGAATCCCTATAGAAAAGGCCACTCCGAATCCCTATGGAAAAGCGCCTGCCAAATCCCCGTGGAAAAGGGCTGCCCAAATCCTTATGGAAAAAGCCCACCGAATCCTCATGGAAAAGGGCCCCCCAAATCCCTATGGTAAAGTGTCCCCCAAATCCCTGTGGAAAAGGACCCCCAAATCCTTACGGAAAAGGCTCCTCCAAATCCCCATGGGAAAGCACCCACGAATCCCCATGGAAAAGCACTCACCAAATCTCTATGGAAAAGACTCCTCCAAATCCTTATGGAAAAGCACCCACGAAATCCCCATGGAAAAGCATCCYGCAAATCCCTATGGAAAAGCACCCCCTGCCAAACATCCCCCCCTTGTCCCAAACTTCCCCTTTGTCCCAAATATCCCATCGCGTCCCCACGACCTTCCCTGCCCCCGTGTCCCCACCGGATCCGTGACCTCCGGAAGCGACGTCCCCCCATTTGCCAAGGAAAAACGCGGCACCAATCCCGGGAGCTTTAACCAACTTCTATCCCGGTTATTTGTTTTAATCCATCCCGGAATTCCGCCTGTAATTCCATTTTTTYCCCTTTAATCGGAGCCTTCCTCCTTCCCTCCCTGCCGTGTCCGGGCTCTCCAGCTCCGTGTCCTTTCCGGATGCGGAGCGAAGGAAAACGGCAGCTTCCCAAGGCGTTCCTGAATGGAAAGGGGTTTGGGAGGGAATATCCATGGAGGGAATTCCCGGATTTAATGGCACCTGTTTGGATTTGGCCCTTTTCCCAAGGGGATGCTTTTCCCCATCCCTTTCCCCATCCCCTTTCTCCCTGAGCGGRAACTTTGTGATTTAAAATCCTCTTTTTTGGGGCTTTTTTTTTTGGCACCATCCGGACACGGATGTTGCTCCCCCGGTGACAACATCCCCGCTGGCCGTCGCCACGGCGACGCTACAGCCGCCCCGTCCGACTGTTGCCGGGGACTCTCTCCGCCTAAAAACATCAGGATTTTGCTACGCTTGGCTCTGATTCCTCCTTTTTTCGGGCTCTTTTTCCAGGTTACGGAGACTGGAACTCCGGGACGAACCGAGGCAAGTACATTAAAAAAAATTGGGGCATTTCCAGCCAAATTGATTGTGGATTTTTCACATTGTGGCTCTTTCCCGAGGCTGGTGACAACCCCCTYGTGTCACCGATGTCACCTCAGGATGTCACCTATTTATTTTCCTTTAAATATAAATTAAGTAAATAGCCCTTAAGCGTAAATAAATAAATTGAGACACTTGGGTTGCAAAATAATAATAAATAAATACTAATAAAAAATAAAAATAATAAATATTTTGGTTTTTGCCCCTGTTATTCCAGGCTATGAGGGCTACAATTACGGCTACGGCTACGGCCAGGAGCACTCGGGCGGCTACGGCTACGGCGCCGCATCCGCCTCCAATTCCTGGGAAATGGCCGGCTCGGATGTGGAGCTYAATCCCGACGCCTCCGGCGCCGACCTGGGCAAAATGAACCAGCGCCTGGACATGGGATCACACCTGGATACGGATACGATGCAGGGGGGGCACTACGGCTCCGGCGGCGACAGGTGAGCRCACGGAGCCTCGGGAATATCCACAATATTTGGGAATATCACGGATATCCTCCCGTGGAGTCATCCCTGCCTTTATTTTCCCACCTTGTCCCCCCTCATTTCTTATCCGTTTTCCCATATTCCAGCTCAAGTGGGCATCTGGAATTGGCTCCATTCCCCTTTTTCCCCCGCTTTGCTTTAAAGAGAGGGCATTTTTTTGCTATAAAAATTCACACAACATTTTGAAGGGAATGTTGGTAAATTTACTAAATTTTAGTAAATTTTAAAATTTTTATAGCAAAAATGTACTATGAAATTTACACAATTTTTTAGTGAATTTTAAAATGTACTAGACTTCTAGTAAATGGGTTTACTAGATTTACTGATTTTAGTAAATTGTAAAATTGTATAGTACATTTTTGCTATAAAAATTTACACAAATTTTTTAGTAAAYTTTAGAACTTACTAGACTTTAGTAAATCTGGTAAACCCATTTACTAGATTTTAGTAAATTTTAAAATTTTATAGTAATTTTTTTACTCTAAAAATTTACACACAATTTTGCAACGCAGCCCCCAAAATTTCAATTCCCCACCTGAAATTGTTTTGCCGCCTTCAGGAAAATGACACTAATGAGGCACCGTTTTTGCCCCAGAACTCGGCTTTTGGAGCAAAATTAAGGAAAAAACAGGGTTTCTTCACATTGGATCCAAGTTTAGWTTTAGGGACCCGTTTTAGTCCTTAAATGCCTTTTTTTTGTAACTAGTGTCATGGAAAAGCTGCGTTTCCAGCGCAGTTTTGGCCTGGTTGAACTGAGTGTTTATTCCTAATAAAAAGCCCCAGAACCTTCCTATATCTTAAATTTTTCAGTGATTTTTTTAACCAGGATTTGCTTTTTAGAGAGGATAGCTCTTGATTCCATATTTAAACAGAAACTTGGGAGCTTCCCAGCTTTGCCGCTTGGCTGCTCCGTGTCTCGCCGCGACAGATGGGAGCCGAGTAGCACTTTCAGCCTCCAAAACCACAGGAAAACCCCCCAAATCCCYACTCTGCGTGGGAATTAAAACACCCCTGAGCGGAAATATCTAATTCGGGGAACGTCGCCTCCGCTTTCCCGTGGGGAAAAAGGGGCTGCTCCGCATTTTGCCTGCTCGGCATACCGGCATCGCTCTCCCTTGGCTTTGATTTTCCAGCCTGTTGAGTTGGAACAACGGCTTTCCAAGCCTGGATTTGGGATATTCTCCCTTTCCTCCCTCTTTCCCAAGTCCTCCTCCGGGCGCGGGGGGGGTTATATTCGGGGGGGTTATATTGGGATTCGGGGCGGGTCCCGGGGCGCAGGCGGGATCCTCCCGTGCCCCCTCTGCAGATACGACTCGTACGAAGGCTACGAGCCGCGCTCGGAGCGCGAGCTCTACCGCTCCGGCTACGACTAYGGCGACGCCGACCGCGGCGGCGACGCCGACGGCTACGACGGCGCCTACGACGGCTACTACGGCGGCCGCCCCCGCGAGCACCACCCGCCCCGGGCGCGCGACGGCTACGGCCCCCGGGGCCACGGCTGGGCCCGGGACGGCCGCAACAACCGCCCCGTCGCGTCGCCCTACGCGGCCCGCAGCGCCTGGAGCGAGCCCCACGCCGCCATGGGCGCCCGCGGCTTCGGCGCCTCCCGCCTCCCGTCCCTCTTCTCCCACAACATCATCCCGGAGCTCAACGCCTTCCCGGGAATGCGGGGCTTCGCGGGCGGCGGGCGCTTCGGAGCGGGAGCCGTGAGGCCGCGCGTGAGGAGGACCTGGAGGAYGTGGGACGCGGACTTCAAAGTGAGTTGGCCCTGCTGGAGGTGAAGGTTGGGCTGGGTGGTCTCTGGAGGTCCCTTCCGACCTTCGGCGTGCTGTGATTCCGTGAGGTTAGCCCCCGTTTCCCCGTGGACCTGTGCGTCCCGCTGCAAAATACCCCCGGGAAGCCCGAATTCCCTCCCCAAAATTCCCCAAATTGAGGAATTGGGTTTCATTCCCCAAATGAAGTTAATCAAGTAGGGTTTAATTCCCCMAAAAAAAGTTATTTCTTTAAAAGAAAGAGAGGATCAGGGTCTTGGAAACGGGACTTCATTAATGGGACGCCTCTCATGGACATTCAACTTTTCAACTTTTTCAAAAATTTTTGAAAACTTTTGGGTTTTTTTTGGTAGTTGCAGAAGAAGAAGCTCAAGAAGGAGCCCATGGCCAAGAAGCGCAAGCCAACCAACAGCTCGGACGAGCCTGACAGCAAGGCGGCCAAAACGGACGGCTCCGACAACTCCGATTCGGAAAACGGTGCGTCCGGCGCGAAAAACGCCCGCCGGCGCCGGTTTTTATCCCGGGGCTTTGCCTAACGCGGCGCCCAATCCCCCTGTCCCTTCCAGAGGAGGGAACCGAAGGCGAATCGGGCGAAAAAGAGGAGAAAGAAGGTTCCAGAGGCGTAAGTGACTCCCCAAACCTCCCGTGAAGGCTGGGCTTGCCCACGGGCATTTAGTTTTAAGGTTCCTTGGGTTTAGGACGGGCTTAACGTCCCACTGTTGGGCTTATCCCTTTAGGAAGGGGAAGAGGATGATGGAAAAGACGGGGAGAAAGGTGAGTTTCCGCGCTCGGCGCCAGCAAAGCGAGCGGAGCGCCGGAATCCCGCSCGGAGCAGATCCCGCCTCGGCTCGAGGAGCCTGCGGCGGCCAAAGGAGCTGGAGCGGATAAAATTCCCGGGATTATTGGGGCTCCTTCGGGCCCCGGGGCGTCCGTAGGTTTTTGGGGAGGAGCTCGGCCGCCGTGTCCGCGTTCGCTCAGGTGAATCCCGTCCTTTGTGTCTGCTCAGGGATAAGGAAATGCTGTAAAAGCCCCCGCTAGGGAGGAGCTGGAGCCCTTGCTCAAGGTAGGTYGGCCCTTGGGTGAAGCTTCTAGGCCTGGGCCTTAAGGGAACCCAGGTTTAAGCGCTCGCTGTGCCGTAGCTGTGGCTTTTTTGGGGGTAAGTCCGTGGAAATCGGAGCCTCCGGGCTTTCCTAATTCCGTGCTGGCTTTYGTTGGAGGCCTGGCGGATCCCGGAGTGGGATTGTCTGGAAGTCAAAGCTGCCCCTAACTTAAACCCTTCCAAAACCAGCAGCAGAAGATTAAAATCGAGGTCTAGCAATCGAGATTTGGGAACCCGCGTGTGGTTTTCCTCAGCGCTCCCAGCTTTTTGGGCTGGAAAAGGACGGCCAGAACCTCCCGAGGAATCGGAGGTGGAGGACACAGCGGCCGGTGGGAGCCGCTCCTCCCGCAGTCCGAGGCCTCTCCGGATCGGTGGGGCCGCCTCCACGGAGCTGCTCGAGGGGGAAGTTCTCTCGCCTCAGGCGGTGGCCTCAAGTAGTGCCCTGAACCTCCCCCCCTGCTTTAAACACTTAGGTGCTTTAACAATTCAAGAAGAGATCAGTGAAATCAAACGCAAATTGCAGGCGGGCAAGAAAACGCAAGAGCGGCAAAAGAAGAGGCACCGCGACCGCATGGTGGAAAGGTAACGGGGTCCCTGTTTCGTGTTCCCGGGGGTGCTGCTGCTTTGTCTCCTCCGAAACATYGGAGGTGGCCCTTGGGCTTCATCTTGGAGGGCCATCCGTACCTGCCCGCGCTTGGAAAAGCGGGTGGTTAAAGCTGATAAAGGCCCTAGGAAACATCTCATGATGGTTCCAAGCCTTGGAGACCTTTAGCTGTAGACCCAAAGGAGTAAAAAAAGGAGCCGGAACGGGTTGGTTTGAAAGTTGTGGCCCTTCACGTCCGGCTGTCCCCGCAGGATCCAGTTTGTCTGCTCGCTGTGCAAGTACCGGACCTTCTACGACGACGAGATGAGCAGTCACCTGGAGAGCAAGTTCCACAAGGAGCACTTCAAGTTCGTGGGGACCAAGCTGCCCCAGCAGACGGCCGAATTCCTCCAGGTGAGCCTCCATGGGTCCTTGACACACTCCATGTGGCTTCACGAGCTTTTTTCCTCTTTATTTGGGTCCATCCTCTCTAGGCTGGATCCCGTCCTCTCTAGGCTGGATCCCGTCCTCTCTAGGCTGGATCCCGTCCTCTCTAGGCTGGATCCTGTCCTCTCTAGAGCTGGATCCCGTCCCTCTAGGTTGGATCCCGTCTCTCTAGGCTGGATCCCGTCCTCTCTAGGCTGGATTTCTATCCTCTCTAGGCCGGATCCCGTCCTCTCTAGGCCGGATCCCGTCCTCTCTAGGCCGGATCCCGTCCCTCTAGGCTGGATCCCATCCCTCTAGGCTGGATCCCATCCCTCTAGGCTGGATCCCATCTCTCTCGGTTGGGTCCATCCTCTCTAGGCTGGATTTCCATCCTCTCTAGGTTGGATCCCATCTCTCTAGGTTGGATCCCATCTCTCTAGGCTGGATCCCATCCTCTGTAGGCTGGATCCCCTCCTCTCTAAGCTGGATCCCATCTCTCTAGGCTGGATCCCGTCCCCTCTCTAGGCTGGATCCCGTCCTCTCTAGGCTGGATCCCGTCCTCTCTAAGCTGGATCCCGTCCCTCTAGGTTGGATCCCATCTCTCTAGGTTGGGTCCATCCTCTCTAGGTTGGGTCACGTCCTCTCTAGGCTGGATCCCGTCCTCTCTAGGTTGGATCCCATCTCTCTAGACTGGATCCCATCCCCTCTCTAGGCTGGATCCCGTCCCTCTGGGCTGGATCCATCGCTATTTATGGAGCTGCTGTCAAGCCCCTAGAGCTGCCCCTCTCAATACCCCCATGAGAAACCACCATGAAAGGTGGAGAGCAGTTGGACGTGGAAGTGTTGGAGCTGCTCCCCCAGCTCCGTCACAGCTGCCCTCTCCCTTCCGAGGTCCTTCCACCTCTACGGCTTGATTAGCCGTGATAGTAGGAAATAAAACGGGAACGTAGCAGGGAGGGGGAGAAAAATTCCACCAAAAAACCCTTCCTCCTGCAGGAATACGTCGCCAACAAGACCAGGAARACGGAAGAGCGCCGTAGAGCCGTGGAGGACATCAACGGCGTCATTCAGCAGATCTACAGGGACCAAGATCTGACGCAGGGTAAGAGCCACGGGCAAAGGAAGGCGCTTCGTTCATTGAAGTGTTTTTAGCCCCAAAACTTCCCTCCACGGGAATATAAGATATGTGGAAGGAAGCCAACGTTGCCCAAGAGGAAATCCTAGATGATACTTAAGCGTGATGTGGTTTGCCCGGCGTTACTACCCGTTTTTGCCAGAGATTTTTGGGTTATTAGCTCTTTTTTGATGCATTTAGAAGAGTTTTGGGTTCATGTTAGGCTCGAACGCGATTCCGATCCGGATTCCGCTCCAARTAACGCCGCTCTCCTCTCCCTCTCCCAGATGTCGGCATGGAGCATTTCATGAAGAAGGTGGAGGCCGCCCACTGCGCCGCGTGCGACCTCTTCCTCCCCATGCAGTACGGCGTCATCCAGAAGCACCTCAAGTCCCTCGACCATAACCACAACCGCAGGGTGAGCGCGGGGACCGGWATCCCGTATCCCGACTTTCCCACCTTTTCCCAGCGATGGGAATCCCGTATCCCGGGATTAATTCAGGAGCAGGACTTAATGGTGCCTCTCTCGCGCTCCCATGCAGGCCATGATGGAGCAGTCCAAGAAGTCGTCGCTCGTCGTCGCCAGGAGCATCCTCAACAACAAACTCATCAGCAAGAAGCTGGAGCGGTACCTGAAGGTGGGTGCTACGTGGAGCCGCCCCTGTTGGCCACCATTGGCCACCGTTGGCCGTCGTTGGCCTCCCGTTGGCCCTCATTGGGCCTCCTGTTGGCCTCCCGTTGGCCATCGTTGGCCTCCCGTTGGCCGTCGCTGGTCGTGGTTGGCCTCCTGTTGGCCCCCCGTTGGCCGTGGTTGGCCCCCCGTTGGCCGTGGTTGGCCCCCCGTTGGCCTCCCGTTGGCCCCCCGTTGGCCTCCCGTTGGCCCGCCTGTTGGCCGTGGTTGGCCCCCCTGTTGGCTGTGGTTGGCCTCCCGTTGGCCGTGGTTGGCCCCCCGTTGGCCCTCCCGTTGGCCGTGGTTGGCCCCCCGTTGGCCCCCCGTTGGCCCCCCGTTGGCCGTGGTTGGCCTCCCGTTGGCCCCCCGTTGGCCACTGTTGGCCATCGTTGACCTCCCATTGGCCATCATTGGGCCTCCCGTTGCCTGCCGTTGGTTCCCGTTGGCCTCAGCTGGCCTCCCGTTGGCTCCTGTTGGCTGTGGTTGGCTCCCATTGGCCTCCCATTGGCCACTGTTGGCTTCCGTTGGCCTCCCATTGACCCCCATTGGCCCCCGTTGGCCATCGTTGACCTCCCATTGCCCATCATTGGGCCTCCCGTTGGCCGCCATTGGCCAACGTTGGCTTCCGTTGCCCCCGTTGGCCTCCTGTTGACCCCTGTTGGGCTCCCGTTGGCCGTCGTTGGCTCCTCGTTGACCTCCCATTGGCTGTTGTGGGACCCCCGTTGACCTGCCTTTGGCTCCCGTTGGCCTCCCGTTAGTCCCCCTTTGGCCTCCCGTTGGCCGTCGTTGGCCCCTGTTGGCCGTCATTGGCTCCCGTTGGCCCCCTTTGGCCACCGTTGGCCCCCGTTGGCCTCCGTTGCCACCGTTGGCCACTGTTGGCCTCCGTTGGCCAAAACTCAAGGAAACTCAAGGTCTTTCAGCGCCACGTTGCCCGCTGGTGGGTCAACGTGATCTACGTTTGCTGGTGTTCAAAAACACTTAAAAAACACTGTTTTTTGGTGCCGTTATCCACTGTTCCACTGAGCTTCTCCGTAGGGTTGGAAGGTGGCTCTTGTGTCCACCATGGATTCCCTCGAGCGACGGTTTTGTCCTCTTTTCCAGGGTGAAAATCCCTTCACGGACGACCCCGAGGAGAAAGAGGAGCACGAGGAAGGCGAAGGCGGGACCGTCGGGAACGCGGAGGAGGAAGGAGCGGCGGGAGAAGGCGCCGACGTCCCCAAGGAGGCCGCCGAGATCCGCGCGGAGGAGGACGGCAACGAGGAGAACCTGGAAGCTGAAGGAGCTGAAGACCAAGGGGGACAAGAGGGGACAGGGACAGAACTGGAGGCGCCAGCGGCTCCGGAGCCGGATCCGGATCCCGCGGATAACACGGATAACGCGGAGCAAGAACCTCCGCCAGCCGAGGAACCGCTCCCGGAGGAAGAGGAGCAGCAAGGTGAGGCCGAAGAGGATGAAGAGGAAGAAGAGCCCCCCGAGTAGCTCCCGGGAGCTCACAAAACCTCCGTTTTTGGTTGTTTTTTCCCCTGTTATTGGTGGTTTTTTTTTAACATAACCGTACCTGTGAATTTTCCTAGTGTTTTGGGGTCTCCTCCTACTAAAAACTCACGTAGGCGGCGGCCGCCTTGGCCTCTGAAGTGATTTTTGGGGGGCTACGGCGGGATTCGATGGATTTTCGTTATTTTTTGTGCGTATTTTGTTACGCGCTAAATGGTCGTTTTCCGTAGCCGTTTATTTCTGGAAGGTCGTTGGGGAGAATTTCCTTTGTGGGGCCCTCGGGGCTTCCGTGGTGGGAGTTGTGTGGAAAAAAAATGCCCTTTTTTGAGGGAAAAAAAGGGGAAAACGGTTAATTTCTGCTCTTTGCAGGTTTTTGGGGTCGCACCTCACGGCTGCTACTGTCACTTTAAGGGGGGGTTGGTGGGGTCAAGGGTCACGGATGGGGTCAAAGGGCGTGTCTGGGTTATGGGGGGGGAGGGGGTCACCCCAGGGGTGTCACCGAGGTGGGGGCAGGAGGGGTCAGAGGTCACGGCGGGGTCAGCGGCCCTCAATGGCCCCTCGCTAGAAGCCCCTCCCCCCCGTAAGGCAGCGCCACGCCCATTTATGCCCGCTGTCCAATGAGCGAGGCGCCTCGCTGTGATGGACAGGTGGCCCCGCGCTACGTTGTCCAATGAGAGCGCGCGAGGCCCGGCCGGGAGGCGGGGGCGGCGCCCGGTGGGCGGGCTCCAAGCGCGGCCAATGAGGCGGCGGGCGTGGCGGGGGAGGGGGCGGGGCTTTT